GAGAGTCGCTGGAACTGATACAGAGACACGTAATCTATGAAAAGCCACTCCTTTCCCGTAAGAGCCTCGGCTAGCTTGGAAACCTGGTATCCATAGGGGTCACAATGTTCCCTCGCCTCCCAGCAGTGGGACAGCGAAACGAGCTGGGTGCCGTCAGGCGCCTTGCCATCGGCCCAGAATTGGACCTCGGAAGGGTGACACAAAGCAGAGGCAGACTTCGGGCCCCTGCGGTCTTTGAGCAGGGAGATACATGCAAATGGCATATCGCGCCTCCTCGTGTGTCACCAGTGCCGTGCGGCAGTCCACGTCGGCAGACTCCGCTTCCTGGCGCCGCGGGAGACGCTGTCCTTCCCGGTGCAGCTTCAGAATGAAGTCGGCTCGCACCTGGGCAGGAAGCTTCATTGCTTCACACAGCAAAGCTGTCAGAGGTATGATTCGTCACATGTTGATTTTCACGCACGACAGGCAAGATTGGATGGCTGCAGGCCTTTGCAGATTCAACACTGCAGCCCGGGGTGTGCACCAAGCGGATGTCCGCATCTTTCAGGAAGTCCGCAAGCCCCTGCTTCTTTGCCAGGTCGTAGCGCTTGGGCTGGCGCAGGCGTTGCGCGACATCGAATTGGATGAAGTTGCACACACAAAACGCTCCAGCCTTTTGCGGCTGCGGAACTGGATCCGGGCGGCGGAGGCGGCGCGCCAAGTCCTCGCAGCTCAGCAGCCCCTCGCCTCCGCAAGGCAGCATCCAGTGTTCTGACGCTGGTGGTGCTTTATTCCTAAGCTCCCAGCGATCGGGGACAACGTCTTGCAAGATGCCCTGACCGAGTGCAACAAACTAGGCGTGCAGTCCCTGCCTGGAGCATGTCCACGGTGAAACGATCGCCTGAAACACTCTGGGAGAATAGCAAGGCTCGAAAGCATGTATTGTAAGGCTGCTTCGCAGTACTGGGTTGGCCATGCAACAGTTGAAGAGTCTAGGCCAGTCTATGCATCGCTTATTGACTTCGAGAAGTCTCTAGAGTAAGAAAGGTTTGGACTCGCCACATGCCACCCAGCTAAGTCCTTCGCTTTATTTTCGGCCAACTTCATAGTCCAAGGTATAGCTGAAATAGAAGCTATGTGCTGCCTTAATTATGAGCTTGCCGCATTCATGAGAGATCATTTCTGACCTCTGAAGGAAGTTGAAACCCTACTTGCAGCTGAAGGCTCTGGCCTTGAAGGTTCCTGACGATGACGCGGAGAGCGTCCTTGGAGATCCTTCGGGTGCCCGGGCCACCCTGGCAGAGGAGAAGCGGGCAAGGAACAGTCCTTGCTCGCTTTCTTGTTCTCCGGTTCGCTCGCTTCATGAAACCCCGCATTGCACTCCGAATCGATCCCGAGTCTGCATTTCACCAGACAACAATCCGGTTGCAAGAAGCAACAAAGGCGGATGGCTTAGCAGCGTGGAAGAAGAGCAAAATCAGCTACTCCATTCGAGGTCATAAGCAAAAGCAATCCCGGCTCATGTCCAACTCACCAAGAAATCCCCGCGCGAACTGTCACCTAGACAGAGCTACAGACCGAGCAGACACCGCTCTGCCTGAACTACCTGAAGATGATGCCATAATAATTGTAGGGTTTGGTGTTGACGTCACCCGCCCTCGAGCCCGTGGCACCAGCTGGATGTCCGCATCTTCGAGGAAGTCTGCCAGCTTGCTCTTATCAGCCAGGTCCTCTTTCGCCTGCACCGCCGAACTCCGGTGCCCTCTTTTTGCAACAGATGGTTGGGATGCGGAGCGCCTGCCCTGCTTTGGAGGTGCCTGGATCCGAGTGGTCGCATGAGCCTCTCCTCAGCAGAGCATCGAGCAAAATTGTCCGACATGTCGAAAGGAAATCCTCTCCGTATTTGCCGTTCATGAGCGTCCAGCGGAAGCTTGCTGGTCTCCCCCGTTGTCTCCTGCATGTGAACCTGCGGCTTCGGAGCAAGCAGATCTCAAGAGAGCCGGCACCAAATCATGGCTATTCCTTGGTTCCTTGATATGATTAGGCTATGATGTTTTGAGTATCCAGACCCCCCCCCCCCATTTTACATACGATTCTCTGCCTTTTTTAGAGCCTTTGGCAATCGCAGCGCTTTGCGGGTGTTCGAAGTAGCTAATATAGGGGCTGTAGCAATCAGAACAGTAAGGTTTCGGGGCACATTGCAGCATGGCTTCCGACTTAGACCTGCTTGAGCCTACAAGTTTGCAACCATCCAATCTTGAGCCAAACGGTTTAACCGTCGATCTAAGCCCAAAGGCCAGAAATCCAGGCGCCCGAGCCAGCATCATGGCAAGCAGCCTGGTGTGGGCGTCCAAGCTGTCGTCGTTCACCTGTGCAGCAGACATTGGACTGAGAGACTCTTGTGCTGTGGCCCCCGGTCCCCTCCTGATGCACGTGATTCGGGAGGCAGCCCTTGAAGCTCGCCTCTCTCTGGCCCTCGCCTCGGCTCTCCATCCAAGCTACCGGCAGCTCTCGGCAGCTCTCGGAGCACAGGGAGCTTGGTTCAGGGGGTCACCAGTACTTTCCCAACTTTGGGGGGCGCGAGCTTCTCGTTGGATTTTGAGGTAACACACCGACACACACACACCGACACCGACACCGGCGCAGAGGCATGCTTCAGGATGCAGGTCTCGTGCTTGCTGGGCTCCAGGCGATCAGCAGCAACTCCTGAACAGTCCTAGCTCCAGGAGTCGTTGTTTGAGGGTAGGGCATGGCCGCCACATGACTTCATCCCACCTGCAGTGCCTGCCCGGTGACAGCATTGCCTCCCGTGCAAACACCGGCTGCCAGATGATATCAAAACAGGCTGAAGAACCTTGGCTCGGCCAAGCAGGCAGACGGCCTCTACGCTCGGCGATTCCCTCGCTGACTTGGTCTGTTTCGGCTCCCTGGCAGGGCTTGCAGACTCGAGCAGGATTGCAGCCTTCCTATGTCCGGTGTTCGACTACCGTGCCCACTGAGGGAACGTGGCTCGTGTACCAGAAGACCACCGGCAAAGCTGCAGAGACTAACGTCGTCTTGGTCGGAAAGGGAATCTTAACCTCGGGCCCCTAGCTATGCTTGAAGCAAAGCTAAGCTAGCCTCTCGACGTACTGGAATAATGCTATAAAAGACTACACCGCTATATATTGAATATACCATAGTATACCTCGACATAGTGCCATTATTTGCAGTAAGTCTTTCCCTCACAAATGCTCGCCTCAATTCTCCAAAGCTCGAATGACTTCGAAACACGGGAATCCAAACACACGGCCCTACAGCGCTCAAGTCGGGTACACTTGGCAACAGTACCTAGATCCCAAACTACTAAGACAAAGCGGCTTCATAGGTAAGATTAAACCACTAGCTTCAGAGACTAGCCTCATGTCTTGGCGGTCGGACCCCCTGTCAATCGTCGATCCTTGCTTCTGAAATGACGAACCAGACTTTATTTGAATCGACGAACTTACGTCTTGCACGCCGCACAAGGAAAAGCCTATCACTGACTGGTATACTTCTCCTTCAATCCAGCACCTGTTGCATCTATCAAGCTCATCTGGGAGATCTTCTGCACTACCTCCGAAGACCTCCGAGGTCTTAGACAAAGGCCCAATTCGATATCTCCGTCCATGATCTGGAAACCTGCAGACCCCTTGGTGAGGGTTCGCTGCCTACTTTCTGCACTCCAACATTGGAAAATGGCAAAATTCTCAAGGAGTGCTGGGCATCTCTCTCCGCTTTGACCTTCCAGCATGTGCCCAGCCGGGGGCCTCAGGCTTGCCGGGGCGACCCGGAAAGCAGCGCGCGACGGCCCGGCCCAGCAGGCTCGTGCCCGTGCCCCCGCGATCGCGAGCGTCCCGACTCCGGAGGCGGAGGAGGAGCTGCCGGCAGCTCAGCAGGCCTTCGCCTCGGTGCTGCTTTTCGACTCGCAAGAGCTCAGGGTCAACAAATTGTCTTGCAATAATTTGCGGGTGTTTCTTTCTAGGCTTGGAGCTTTCGGGGCCTGGTTTCGGTGTCTCCTTGAAGTCTCTAAATCACTCAAGAATCCTTGTTGGCAAGACCTCGCTGAGTGCCCTGCCATCGATGGGAACTTCTTGCAAAAGGCCCTGGGCTCGGTGTGATATAGTTTTTCAAGTGAAATCACAGGCTTCAACCAGAAGACCGATTGCTGTGCCGATCTGCTCCGGCCTGAAGTTCCTCCTCTGTGATACCGTTGCCTTGCACACAGCTGCTTCCAGCAGCCGCCGTACTTTGCAAGGCACCCATGCTCGCGCGCCAGCCTCGAAGGCTTTCGACGATGTCGCAGAACGTCTCTGCAGACACTCTTTCCAGCTCCTCCCGAACCTGGCGAGCGGGAATGTTAGGAATGCAGGCTGAAAGCAGCTCCTCAGTGGGATAAGTAAGGCCCGCGGTGCTATGATGCGCGAGCACCGGCTGGTTTGGAGTCCGAGCCTATGCTTCCTAAGCCCATATCTGGACACCACCTTCAGACACCTGGATCTGACTGTGCATGATTCTGTTGGCATCGTCACTCCTGATGTGTCCAGATCTGCAAGGCGTGTTTTTGTCTCTTGCCTGCTGTCGCTCCGCGCGAGAAGCTTAAACTCGAAAAGGCTCTTGCCAGCTTGCCTTCATTCCACTGTAGCTACTGTTTCGGCCTCGGCTTGAGGGATTCCCGATTTGTGTTGGGCGTACATTCTTGCATTTTCATGCAAAAAAGAGAGCATCGTCTGCTTTTCTGGCAGACTGCCGCTCTCGCCAAACATGCTTTAAGACGGAAGGGCAGCCATTCACGCAGCCGCGTGCAATCCTGCACACTCCGGCCTTCGTCAATCCTCAACCTCAGCCCTCCAAACCTGACAACGAGACCCAACATTCCATCGGAACGCCGAAGCCGAACAGAAGCTCACAACGTCCACAGCGCCTGCAGAGGAACCCGAAGAAAGGCCATGATGACCCCGACGGAAGAGGACGACTCCAAAATCTAATTCCTAATCCCTCAAAGCCCTAAACCCATGGAAGAGAAAACCGCAGAACGGCCCCTCCGGGCCTCAGTCGCCATCCGAGCCCTGGCCTTCGGCCTGGCAGCTTTTGGGGGGCAGGCCGTCTTCGGGAAGAAAGGATCGCATGTCGATTTATAGAGGTTGAGGTGGTGGTGCTTTGCCTGGGTTCCTTGATGTTCCGTGTGAACCTGCCAAGGGGTTTCCGTGGAGAGTCGGTATGAAGCCTCCGACCAAAAGCTTTGACACTAACTGCTGGGCCGAATGAAAGCCCGCTCAGCCGAACCCCCGACAATCCCACTTGGATTCCCTGCGTGAAACGCCTCAATGTATGCGCACCACAGCAGCCTACCAAGCCCAC